TGCAGAAACGCCTCCGCGGCGATCAAACCCAATCACACGCGATATTTGGGTAGCAAGTTTTGTAGAGAATAAATATCACACTTCAATTTCATGGTAACTTAGGAGGGTTTACTGTCAAATACCATGGCTTTTACATGGTTCTACCAATTACTGAGCAATTACATGTAACCTAGATCTGGAGGACATACAGTAGAGATATAATGTAGTCCTCTCTGTATTAAGAAGAAAAAGGCAGTTAACAGAAAACACTTCTTTTTTTTAAATTATAAACCCTTCCACAATATTCCTGTGTGACATTATTAAAACTCCACATCAATATAAAACCCAAAGCAAAGGCTGCCATCCCATTAACACGTCAGTTGTGGGATGATCAATAAAAATTTACTTTAAACTGCACCATATGTCGCTCCCCACAAAGTTTTATTATTCAGATTCGTAAGTTTGTACCTCAACCCCCATGCAATTAAATCCCATTTAGCAGCACTGACCTTCAGATTTGAACTTGTCATTCCTACAGCTGGTTTGGAGTTTAACAGCACCTTTAAATAATGAAAACAAACTGTCTGTAAATTAACAGTGGGGTACAGGGAGCCCTCCACTGGGACAGCCCTCCCACACCCTTGCCGGCAGCACAGCTCCCGTGCTGGAAAAGGGAGAGGGGAAAAAAGGGGGGTGAAAAAAAAAAGTGCCAGCACATTTTAACATGTTGTAGCATATTTGTAAACATCGTTAATCACGGATTAGCAGATGGTAATGTTAATTGCACCTGTGGAAGTAACAAGACCTCAAGGTTGATTACATTTACAAACTCGGATAAGGGCTGCGGCGCAGTGGAGGATTCCTGGCTGCCGGCGAGGAAGGTGCCCCTTGGGCTGCAATTCCAGTGCTGGCTGCTCCTGCCCAGCCCCTCCAGGATCAGCCCCAGGACTGCGCTGCTCCCTTCTGCCACAGGCCCACCTCCAGCTTTGCAAAGACTGTTCTTCTGTTTGTTGTTCTCTGTCCCAAAGCCCTTCCAGCCTCAGCAAACCTCTTCAGGATCCACTGGTGGATTTGATGGACTGGCATTTTTTTTGGTCGTGTTGATAATCTGCACAAAAGTGAAATCTGGGGCATGAGCTGAGCTTCTCTCACAGACTGTTCTCCCCAGAGTTGGTTTTGGGGGATGAAAATACTTGTGTTTGCCCTCATCTGAGGATAAAACGGCCAAGGCGTGGAACACATCTTCTGAACCAAGGAGGACAAATATTTTGCCACTGTGCTTAGAGACACTTTGATTATTGAGAATTCATTTTGGAAGGGCAATTACTAAATTTTAAAATCAATTTGGTAAATAAGCCTCTGAAAGGAATCCATGACAAGCAGCAGGGAGGGAAAAACTTGACTTTCAAATTACACACATACACTTTATTCATATCTAAATATCAAAGAGGCTGTATGTACAAACAGAAGTAATCAGGAAGCATGTTTTGATCTTGCTGATGTACACAAAAAGTGACAATTAATGTCCTCCTTTATGATATAAAGCTGGGAGTTTTTTACAGTTACATTACAGGGATGATTATAGTTGAGCTTAAGGCTAAAAATAATGAAAGACTATAAAAACTACATTTTAACATTTAAAAATATCCAGGAAATTAACTGGAGAAGCGGGCAATGATCCAATTAATGGATTGCATTTATTAGATTGGGGCAAATCACTCAGCACAAAGCTCCATCTCCAAAGGTGCAAGCTCCTTGTAGGTCTCAATCCAGAGCAGGATGGAGCTGGGGCAGGAGAAAGCATCAACCAATAGGCAGACACATCCAAAAACTGGCCAGGTGATGGCAGAGGCACATACCAGCAAACCAAAGCAGGGTCAAAAGTTACCATGGAGGGAAACTGGTAAAATGCAACTACCAGAGCTGTCCAAAGTGGCATTTCCTGCACATACAAAAGCCTCTACCACAGCTCTCAAGCCAAAAAGTCTGAGCTGTAGCCCTAGTTACACATGCAAATTCCTGCCTCTTAAAATCCAAGCCTCACAGAATTCCCAGTAAGCCCTGCCTGATACTTCAGCACCAAATCAAGGTGCTGTACGGATACAGCAGCTGTAGAGAAATTTGTGTGGAAGCCACGATGGCTGCTGGACTGATGGACAAGTGACCATGGGAGCTGCCATCTACCTCCCCCATCCTATCAGCAGAGCCACTACAGGCACTGAGGTTCCAGAGCTTTTTTGAGCAATAGAGAAGTAGCTGCTTCATTATTATTCACCTGCTTCCTCCTCCCAGGAGGTGGGGGCAGCTTGGCTAAGCAGTCTGCTGGTGCCAGGCATTCCCAAACACGCACAGCCAGTGAAGTGCCACCTCTAATAGTACTGCTCCAATAAATAAAAAAGAAGAAACTGCAGCTCCTATGAAATCAAAGAATACATATACTTACCTATAGGTCAAGAATAAAGAATTGGCTTTATCCTCATCCCTGCTGCTTGAAAGGAAGGATTCAGTTAGCCCCCAAGCACTGAATCTTTCCTCTGAAAAATGAGCAAAACTGAGCCACGGGCCCCCTCTGCTGGGGCTCCCACGGCTGCGTCAGCAGCTCCCTGGCCCCGAGCCTTTTATTTCAGCATTAAAGAAAAAAAAAAAAAGACACGTTCAGCACACAAAATACAAGAGCTGTCACCGCAAAAATGCACCAGGTCCCTGTTACTCAGTGACCAGCTTGTCTTCAGACTCTGGAAATAACATCCTGCTTGCACCACAGCCATCATTTCAGAGGGACTTGGATTTTGTCTTTTACCACTGGAGAGGAAAGGGGCAGACCCAGCTCAGGACACATGGTGCCACGCCAGGCACCCTGATCATCACAGCCACTGAAAAGTGAGTCCTTGACACTTTCGAGGAGCTCCATGTCCTGTCCCCCATCCCAGGCACCTGGGCCATTCCCAGCCCCAAAGCACCCACCAGGCAGGCCCTCTTGGGGACTCATCTGAAAAACCTCCACATCCATAGACCGGTTTACAGACTTCATTTAGCTCAAAGGGAAGTCCTAATTAGTCACTCTGAGTGATTTACTTGTTCATTTGGAAGGGAGGGAGGGGGGGACTAAGTTGAATTGTTTGAAATTATCCCTAAAGGGCACTGTAAATTAAGTGTTAATGAGGAATCCTATGCAAAGGGCCACAGTAGCTAAATAAAATAATTAAGGTGCTAAGTGATAACATTCATTTGGTTCTCAATAATTTAGCCAGTCTGGTTTTCAACCAGGATATTTGCAAATGAAGCCATCCTTACCCCTCCATGCCATCAGTGGGGTCAGAATCCAGTAGCATCAGGCCCACCATAGAAAGGAAACTTCCCCAGAAGAAGAGAACAAGCTCCTGATTCCCCTTCCCACCTGAAGGAAGTTTCACGAATCACACTCTGGATTTATATATGACACAAAAAAGATTGATTCCAGTCTACAACCAACCTTTACAGAGGCTTTATTTCACCAGGCTGTATGTTTCCCCACTACAGCCATTTCCTAACAGCTCCTGTCCGTCCCTTGGCAGGGCTGCAGACCTGGTTTACAACCCAATACAACACGGTGTGTTGTCAGACATTCAAGCAGCAAAATGTAAGACAGAAACCACCTCGTCATGAAGAAATTGCCATTGACTACTCCCAAATCATACCTGGTGCCCACCAGCACCTTCTTGGCTGCTAATGGGACAGTGGGCTCAGGGTGGGCATGGGGTACAGCTGCTCTCTGCACCAGCACCACCCGAGCACCGTTTCTCCCCTACAGTCCAAATTCTCTTCACTCCTCAAGCCACGAACAAAGTCCACAAAACACTGAGCAACTTCCCTTGCCAACATATGAAAAAAGTTTCAATCACCATGGCTCAGTCTTTGGCTGCAGATGGAGTGCAGGAGAATGCCTGTAGGAGTAAAAATAAAGACCGTTTTTTAAACCACAAGAAAACAATTTTGCAGGCCTGGATGTTGGTTTGAATTTTCAATACAGAAACTACACTGCTCAGAACTGTGTTTACCAGTAGCAACAGAGACGTTCAGCGACTCGATGCCGGGGTGCAGCGCTCGGC